ATATCCAGAAACGCCGTGCAGTCGCATCGGACGCTGCGCTCCCGCCGAACCGATGCGGGCCAGCAGCTTCACCATCATCAGACGGTCTCAAGCGGTCTCAGCGTGGCACAAGACCCTCGGCGCCGAGCACAGCTGCGAGTCTCACGCGGTCCCAAGGTGCCACGAAACCCTTGGCGCCGAGCGCATCCGCACGTCTCACGCGGCCTCAAAGGGCCACGAAGCCCTCGGCGCCGAGCACGTCCACGCGTCCCACACGGTCTCAGAATGACACGAAACCCGCGGCGCCGAGCCCAGTCACGCGTATCACAGGCTTTCACACTGCCTCCAAATTCTACGAAACCCTCGGCGCCGAGCACATCCGCGCGTCTCACAAGATTTCAGAATGCCACGAAACCCGCGGGCCCGAACACATCACCGCGTCGCACATGGCGTCAAAACGCCACGAACACCCCGGCTCCGAGCCCATCCGCAAGTCCCACGCGGGGCTCAACGTGCAACGAAATCCTCTCGAACCCTGTGCCCGATAACCATACGTCTCAATACAACTGATACCTACAACGCGTTCGCTGGTCAGGGGAACGCGCAAGCATGCTATAACGCAAACTCACAACAAACGAGCATGCAATCATCTAGGATTTGGGACTGCGAAGGTCGACATTACCATTGGAAACCTGATGAAGCCGCCGTCGAAAAATTGCGGACCCGACGCGAGCGCGGAATTAATTTCCAAACATGTCTTCTCGGACTGCAGTATTCCTCCTTCTCCTGCTCCCTCTTTTCTCTTTATTATCCTCCACCCTGTCCAATTCTGCTCACTCATCCTCCTTTCCTCCTCTTCGTTCTCCAACCTCTCTTCTTTCCAGAGTATTAAACAAAGTCGGGGAGGATGGTTCTTGCGGAATTTAACAGGTCGAGCGGGTGCTGCGGAATCCTCCTCACATCTCCATCATCCCGTATCCCTTTTTACTCCTTTTTCCTCCCACTTGCACCCTCCGTCCCCCCACTCCTCCTCGTATTCCGATCTCCCTCGTTCATTCCCTTCGCCACCCTGCCACCCCCCAAGCCCTGCTCCGCTTTCCTTCTCGTCCTCTCCAGATCAGCCGCCCAAGACCCGGATGCGCGTGGCGGTCGCATTCCACCGAATCTCGTTGGACGATGCGCAGTGGTGGCATCCGCGAGGTACCAGCCGTAGGAGGAGGAGGAGGAGGAGGAGGAGGAGGAGGAGGAGGAGGAGGAGGAGGAGGCCCCGCGTGCGAATTATGCTGCAGCCTCGATGGGGAGCATCACAACGAAGGGCCTGCCAATACTCCTCCCTGCTTCACGCCGTGGCCCCCAGGCCTCTCGACCCTGTGACATCAGGCGGACCGAGGACGAGGACGAGAACGACGAGTAGTTAGAAAGAGGAAGAAGCAGAGGAGATGAGGAGGACGACGACGGCGAGAAGGAGAAGGAGGAGAGAAGGAGGACTGAAATCCGCTCAAAATCAATCACGGCAAAATTTTCGAGCTGCGTCTAGCCGTGGCGACTAGAACATACGGGAACGACCCAAAGCCTCAGAGCCTGGAAGCGGCCTCCGAAGGCCCACATCGCGACAACAGTGTTCATAATCAAATTTTCGCGACGCCTGGAGGTCGAGATCCTCCGCCCCAAAATCGGTGCCCTCAACCGTGTCCCAGGGTGCATTCTGGGCAAGAGACTTCGAACGCCCCGAAAAGGCCCAAGCAATTCCAAGCTGCAGTTCTGACAGAAGCTGCAACTGGCCGTCGAGACTTGTTCGACTTGACGAGGACGTCGGCGCCGCCAGATGGGCGGGGCAGAGATACACGGGCGACCATCACCGACCAAGACTGGCGGAGGTGGGGTCTCAGTTCGGGCTTGCCTCCCCCAGGGGAAGGGGTCCCTCCCCTCCCCTGGGGGATCCCAGTCCCTCCCCTCCCCTCCCCTCCCCTCCCCTGGGGATCCCTTCCCTCCCCTCCCCTCCCCTGGGGATCCCTCCCCTTCCCTCCGCTGGGGATCCCGGTCCCGCCGTGTTTGACTCCCCTCGCGGGTCGCGGGCAGGTGGTTTTTCTGGCGCCATATTTGCGCGACCGTTCACGTGGGGACGGCCTGTGGAACCTTCCATGTTTTGCGCGCGTCAATCGTCGCTTTTGGTGGCCTTTGAAGCCTCGCGTGTCTCTATCGTGCTATCTCTTTACATCTGCATTTCCTCGGCCTTGTGTGCTGGACGCGTGGCTCAGCCCACTGTGGGAGCGTTTTGGGCCGCAGTACGATTTAATGTTGCACCTCCCCGTCTGTAGCTCGCATGTCGGGCACTTCTGCGAATCTCCGGCCGACCGATCTTGACATCGTCCTTCTTCTCCTCCTCCTCCTCATCATCCTCTTTTTTTTCCTTATCCTGATTATCATCCTTATCACCATGATCATCCTTATCCTCCTTATCCTCCTCCTCCTTCTCCTTCTCTTCCTCTTCCTCCTCCTCCTCAGCATTATCCTCCTCCTCTGCTTCCTGAGGTGGTCTGGCCGGCGATTTGACCAGAACGTCAAGTGCAATCTAGTTTTTTCAATGAACGCGCCCCAGAGCTCCAAAAAGGCCCGCAACACGTGTTAAAGAAATTTCCCATTTCCTCCTTCTCCTCCTCCTCCTCCTCCTCCTCCCCACCCCTCCTCGATCGTTGATCCTCATCCTGAACCTTGCCACGAGAGAACAAGGGCCAAAGGGAAACGGGTCCTGGACCTAAGGCCCAGGGATCGGCCCTTCATCTTGACTAGTTTGCTGCGTTCTGACGTCCTGGAATCCGGGAAGGGGCCCGAGAATAAACGAAAACAGCGAGGACTTCAGGACCCCTTTCTCCCAACGGGACGTTGTGTAGCATCTTCAGAGGACCTTGTCAGCGCTACCGCGTCGCGATTCGCGTCAAATCCGCGTCGGATCCACGTCGAAATCGCGAATCCACGTCGAATCTGCGCCAGATCCACGTCGAATTCGCGTCGGCCCCGCGTCGAAACCAATGCAGCGCCGCCATTTACAGGACGCAAGAAAACCTCCGAAGTTGCAACGTAAAAGTTAATAGGTCGCAGATGAGGCGGGACAGAAAGGCATGGCCAGCTCGCGCGGCATGGCGATGATATAACCGATGATGTCCGCATCTTGAATTGCACACTAGACGGGCGCACAAAAATCACCATTGGTGTCTGTTTGTTGCGATACCAATGCTGCGCATGTGCTGCAAATTTCCCCAATATTGCATAGAAACAAATGCGCTCCGGGATTGAACTTAGGGGAATTCCGGAATTGTTCTTTGCGCTTGCGAGATATTCGTGGTCCCGCTGCGTGTTTCTCAAACTCTTGGAACGTCGTTTCGGAATGTACAAAGTGTGGGTTTGTCTCGAAACCAACCCGTAAAACAATTCAGCCGTTCCCAGAATTTGTATTCTTGTGCGGCCGATACAAGAACTCCAGAATTATCGTTTCCACGACCGGGAATGCCAGAACATGCACCAGGCGATCGGCAGCCCTGGGCCGGGAATCGCGCATCCCGGCGTCGCTTCTGGGGCGATCGTCGGCAAGCACAACGCCGCGCTGGTGCGGGTCAGAGATGCCGTCCCTGATGCGGGCACCCCACCGTGACCCACCTGCGCTGCGCGCGTGCGCAGCTCGGCGACCACGCCCCCAGCGCCGCGGCGGCCACGGTGCGGGCCCTGGGTCCACCAGGCGGCAGGCAGGGCGGGGCAGGAGGACCGGGCGAAGCGGCGGCCGCGCGGCGGGAGCGGGCAACGGGCGCAGGCAGGGGCAAGACGGGAGGCACAGGCAGGCAGGAGCTGGGAGGGAGGGCGAGGCGGAGGGCGAGGCGGAGGGCAGGGGCGGCGGCGGGAGGCAGGGGCGAGAGCTGAGGCCGCAGCAGAGGCGGGGCGGAGAGCGAAAGGGAAAGAGGGCAGGCCGGAAGACGGGAGGCGACCAGGACAGGACGGGCGAAGGCACAGACCAAGGGCAAGCGGCGGAGGATTGCGGGCAGTCCAGGCGAAAGGGATACAGCGGCGGGGAAGACACACATACAGACATACACACACACAAACATACACACACACAAACAAACAAACAAACAAACAAACAAACAAACAAACAAACAAACAAGCACATACTTTTCCCTCCATCGGCCAAGTGGCGTCACTGCAGCGAGGGCCGAAGTGGGGAGCGTTTAGCGTCAATTCCATCTGGCGTTGCAGGTGGTGGCTTGGGTTGGGCGAGCGCGCGTGGGACAGCTGGCGGACAGACCGCGCGTGAAACGTGCAGGTGGAAAGCCCGCACGCTGAGCTCAGGGGAGGGTGGCCGAGTAGCGAGCCCCTGGTGGTCCTGTAAGCCAGAAGGGGGAACACACACGCACACTCCGGCAATGCCATTGGGGGGTCACCACAACCGGGGGTCGCCACCTCCATGAAGGGGACCCACTCGGCCCCCCCAGAACCCCACCCAGGACCCCCCAAAGGACTGCTGCACACCGCCATAACCTCGCCGGTCCTCCATACCCCCCTCCTCGACCTCCAAGAGGAGGTGCTGGCCCCCCTGCTTGCGAGGGGACACTCATGGGGGACTGGCTCAGGGCGGGGAACATCCAGCTGGACTCGGCGAAACCTCACTGATAGACGGGCGATAGGCCCCCGATGGCGAAGCCGCACGGTCCTGGGCGGTATGGGCCACCGGGCCCCCATACACTGTCGGCGATCAGTGAGCGATGGGGGGCCGACGCGTCCCACCCGGAGCCTGTCCGACGCAACGTTGCCCCTGACGTGCCCATGGCCCCACTGGCACTGCCCGATCGGGGGCGACGATGGGGGCGAACAGCCCACGGGAGAGCCATGCACGTCTCCAGGGGCGCCGATGGCCCATGCCTCCGGCGAGGCTCAGTGGGCGCCCTGGGCGAGTCGCCCCCTGCGCCGCCTCCAGCCCGACGCCCCCCTTGGCATCCTGGGCAGAGCACGGCCCCGGAGGAGCGGGCCGGCGCCTCCCCGCCAGCCTTGGCCGGGACGTGGTGCGCGACGACCGCCAGGACCGACAGCCTGTCCTTGTCTTTCGGCTTGTGCTGCGGGGCGGCGCCCAGGGCCGTGCCCTCGCCGAGCCCGGGCCCCGCCCTCGCGGGCGAGGCCTCGGGAGGCGCCTCGAGGGGCCTCCAGAGATCCCGAGGAGGCCTCGCCCTCGCTGGCCCGGGACCAGCGTCACCATCATCGCCGTCGCCGTCGCCGCCCATCGTCGACATCGTCGCCGCCGCCGTGATCGCCGCCGTCGCCGTCGTCATCGTCGCCGTTGCATCGAAGGCCTCCCCGTCGTCATCGTCGCCGTCGCCGCCGCCGCGCGAGAGCCGGCCCGACTGACCGTGTCCACGCCATGCCGCCCCCTTCCACCTTACACCTTACACCTCCTGCAGCTCATCGTCCGCACTGGAAGACGAGGAGGGAGAAGGGAGGAGGGAGGGTGGAGGAGAAGGGAGAGGTAGGATTATCGTGGACGCTCGTGGTCTACGTCAGGGGCCTTTCGCGAGAGGAGTCCAACCAGCGAGCGGCCCGGAGGTGCCCAAGCGCTTCTCTCATTGCGGGCGTAGCCTTGCACCAGCCTTCTCGTATTCGCAGCCCCTGCGCTGCAGCTGCTACTAGGGACCACCTCCCTCCCACGTATGCGGGCCGTCCACAGATGCGCTGAATGGCAGGCCTGCTATGCACGCCCGCGCCCTTCTCGCACGAGCTGGTCGCACCGGTGTAGCCGACGACCCTCTCCCGCGAGTCCCTGTCCGACACAAGAGGGCCAGCTGACACGGTCGACAGCTGACGGCCATGGCCCCAGCTAAGGAACCCCCTGCCTTCTCGGGAGGCCCGCCTTCTGCGCGCCGCCAGTCCACGCTTCTTGCCGCTACGTCTGGTGTTGCGCGGCGAAGTACCGACTCAATCACGGCTGGCGCACTCGGTGCTGTCTCGCATGTGGTTGCGCCCTGGGGATGAATAATCCAGTGCTTTCTCCACGGCGAATTGCGGGTGCATTATGAGAGAGCCCTTTTCACGCGATCCAGGGGCGTAGAGCTCTCCAAACCCTCGGCGACCGCCGAACGTCCAATGCACATTGTGGCACCAGCCCTCCAAACAAACTTTACCAATATATGCTGCTTGCTACATTGTTATAGAATGGCGGGTGAATGCACGGAGGGGGCCACAAAGGAACCCCGCACGTGCGTACGCTTCCCAAGCCTTTTTTGCCCTACTCGCAAAACGTTCCCTCACGGGCAAAAGCAAATGAAGCCAAACAGAGAGGAAGGGAGGACAAAGAGAACAGAGAGGAAGAGAGGAATATCAACGATTGACTCAGGCATCCTCCATGCGTCATAGAAAGTATGGAGGTGAATCTTCGATGCTTTAAGTGACTGTGCCCTTCCGTACTTTGCGCCCGCTCGAGGCGGACTCGAGATCTATACGACCGCTACATCCTACGTTGCTTCGCCTCGCTCTGATCTCCTCCGCTGCGCTCTCCGATACCTCATCCACCGCGACGGCGTCCCGAAAAACGCCTGCCCTCTGGGCGGCCGGCGACATAGACTCCTTTTTTTCGAAGGGGCCCGGGACACACGCAAATACATAGACACGATTTCGAATATCCCCAAGTATATATATATATATATACACACCTATAGGTAATAAGGAAGTCCGGGGGAAGGGGAGGAACCAACGTCTCACGCGATCGGTCTCACTATCGATCCCCTATCGATCTCACTATCGGTCTCGCTCGATCGATCTCACTCGATCGATCTCACAATCGATCTCACTCGACCTATTTCATTCGATCGATCTCACAATCGATCACACTATTGATCTCACAATCGATCTCACAATCGATCTCACAATCGATCTCACATTCGGTCTCACTATCGATCTCCCCATCGATATCACAATAGATGTCACCATCACCGTCATCATCAACAACATCATCGTCATCAACGTCATCAACATCATCATCATCATCATCATCATCGGGACACCATCATCATCACCACCTCATCACCATCATCATCACCACCATTATCATCATCGGGACACCATCATCGTCACCATCATCATCCACATCATCATCATCGGGACACAATCATCATCGGAACACCACCATCATCATCACCCCATCATCATCAGCATGAACAACATCGTAATCGAGGCACCATCATCACCATCAACATCATCATCATCCAGACAGCATCATCATCGTCACCACCACCATCACCATCATCATCATCGGGACACCATCATCATCATCACACCATTAGCATCACCATCATCGGGCCACCATCATCAAAACATTCATCATCACCTCATCATCATCCTCATCATTCACATCATCAGCATCATCATCGGGACACCATCATCGTCATCATCATCATCGGGATACCATCATCATCATCACCATCATCATCAGCAATCTTATCATCATCATCTGGACACCATCTTCATCATCCTCATCATGATCTCATCACCATCTCGTTATCATCAACATCATCAGGATCATCTACATCATCATCAGCAACATCATCGGGACACCATCATCATCAGCAACATTGTCATCAACATCATCATCATAATCGGGACACCATCATCACCACCACCACCACCATCATCATCAACATCGTCAACGTCATCATCATCTTCATCGGGACACCATCATCATCACCACCATCATCATCATCATCATCATCGGGACACCACCATCATCACCACCTCATCACCATCATTATCAACATCATCATCACCACCATTATCATCATCGGGACACCATCATCGTCACCATCATCATCCACAGCATTATCATCATCATCGGGACACCATCATCATCGGAACACCACCACCATCATCATCATCATCATCTCATCATCATCATCATGAACAACATCATCATCGAGACACCATCATCACCATCAACAACATCACCATCATCATCATCCGGACACCATCATCATCGTCACCATCATCATCACCATCATCATCATCGGGACACCATCATCATCATCAGCACCATCAGAATCACCAACATCGGGCCACCATCATCAAATCATTCATCATCACCTCATCATCGTCCTCATCATTCACATCATCAGCCTCATCATCGGGACACCATATCATCACCATCATCATCGGGACACCATATCATCATCACCATCATCATCAGCAACCTCATCATCATCATCTGGACACCATCATCATCATCTTCATCATCATCTCATCATCATCATCATGATCATCAACACCATCATCATCAACATCATCGGGACACCATCATCACCAGCAACGTTATCATCAACATCATCATCATCATCGGGACACCATCATCATCACCACCATCACCATCATCATCATCAACATCATCAACATCATCATCATCATCACTGGGACACCATCATCATCACCACCATCACCATCACCATCACCATCACCATCACCATCACCATAACCATCATCATGTTCATCATGTTCATCATGTTCATCATCATCATCATCATCATCATCATCATCATCATCATCGTGACACCGACGGGACAGCGGCGGGACACTGGCGGGACACCGCGCGGCACCGGACGCCGGAAGGGAGTCATTTGGTCTGGCCGCGCCTCAGCCACAGCGGGACACTGGCGGGACACCGCGCGGCACCGGTTGCCGGAAGGGAGCCATTTGGTCCGGCCGCGCCTCAGCCACAGGAGACTTTCCTCTCGCCCGCCCACGCAACTTCGCCTCGCCCGCACGCACGGCACGCACGAACACGAAACCGAAATCGATTTCCCGGTAGGGGGGCTCTCCGCTCCACTTCGATCTCACCCCCTCACCTCCGATACTCTGGACTTCGTCTTGCCCTCCTTCTCCTCTATGTTCAATTTATTTTCTTGGGAATAGACGGCTATCCGTGTCTGTGCCGACTTTCCCCTCCTTATTTTTGTCCGCGCGAGGCTCCTCTCCTCAGGCCCCATCCCCAGCCCTTGGGGAAGTCGGGCGGGTGGTAATAGAGGGTGGCCTGAGTGGGGCGCGAAGGGAAGGGCCCCAAAGAGTCCCTCTGGGGCTCCTTTCGGGCCCCTGGCGGCTCCGAGAGGGGCCTCTCTCTCCACCCCCCCTTTAGGTCTCCGCCCTTTCCCCCCCCGCCCCCCCCGGCCCTTGGGGACGGGGATTGCCCCCCCTCCCCGGGATCTCAGCTTCGGGCACGCACTTTGTGGGCCCCAGAAACGGCAGGGCCGTTTTTTCACCGTTTCCAAAAAAATGTCCCTTGAAAATGGAAACGGCAAAAAAACGGCGACCGGAAACAGCAAAAAAACGGCTCCAAGATTGGAGCCGGAGCCGGAACCGGTCAAAAAACGGCGACGGAACCAAAAAAAAAACGGCGTCGGAACCAGCGAAAAAACGGCAAAACGGAACCGGTAAAAAAACGGCCCTGTCGTTTCCAGGGCCCACTTCGGGCAGGCACCCGTGAGTGCCCGCGCCCGCGCCGCGCCGAGGCGGCGCGAGCCTGCCGAGGGCCACCTTTGCTCACGATCGACCCCTGGGCGCCCTCCCGGCCGTCATCCTGACCGGCTTGGCTTCGGGCTGCGCCCAGCCGTGGCCGCGGCCAGGGCAGGGAGGGCAGAACTGAAGGGGCCCTGGGACACACAAACAAACACGCACAAATAAAAATATCCCCCATATTTTCCCATATTTTCTGGGTGTCTGTCTTCCACCCCACTTCCCATATTTTCTCATATTTTCCTGGGGATCGTCGATGAATTGTGTCTATGTGTTTTTTCCCCTCCTGATTGGCTTCTGGCTGCGCCCACCCGTGGCCGCGGCCAGGGCAGGGAGGGCAGAAGCCAGAGAACAACGGCCGTGCGGAAAAACATGGAATCACTCAGAAGCCCGTTCGGCGGGATTGGAACATGTAGCAGATTCCAGATTTCCCGCAGGGTTGGAACATTTTACGAACGCGCGTGTTTTGGGTGAAATCCGAAAACTCCGAAGCGTGCGCCAATGTTTGGGCGCGCGGATATTTTCGAATTTCTCCAACACTGCGGCGGGCGCGGAGAAATTGCCGGCATTG